TAAAAACATCACAATAATCCACAAGTAATCCACATCACTCCAGTCCATCAGTTAACATCTTGTGAAGCCAAAAGCTGCATGTTTGTAAGAAACAAAACATTTTTAACTAAAACGAGTCCATAATAACACTTCCTCCAGTGGAAAAGTGGTCTGGTCTGACTCAGGATAGAGAAAACATGCACAAATGAAACACCGTTTACAAGCCAAAACAGCTATAAACAACTATGTGGGTGGATTTTGATGTGAGAGGACAATAGGAGATGGACTTTTATTATGTCATTATGGATTATGGACTCGTATTTTAGCAACGGTTAATGATGGATTGCATGAGGATGAGTACATTTTCAGCAAATTTTCATGTATTCGTGAACTGTCCCTTTAAGAAACCCCCCCTGTGAATTTCATTGGCCACACCCCACAGGAAGTTGAACTGCAATGACGTGAAATTTACAATTCAGAAAACTTAAACAAGTAATGCATTCTGTTTGTTAAATATAAAGAACTATAGTTAAATGAAGTACACATTTCTATAGATGACATTTCAAACAGATTTGGCCTATTAAAATTTTCCTCAAAATTTCATTCAAGGCTTTGTCAAGCCATCAACCAAAGTTTGTCTTGACAAAATTGCCATTACAGTTAAAGATGACACTTAGATTAGATTACAGTTAGATATTGATTCTATAAATTTCAGTTCATTTTATTTTAATTTTACTTTAATTTGATTCACAATTCCGAATCCTGTTTACGTTCAATTTTAATTAAATAGTTAAAGAATAAAAAAAAAAAAATGAAGAATAATACTTCTTATTCTCCTCATTCACAATTCCGAATCCTGTTTACGTTCAATTTTAATTAAATAGTTAAAGAATAAAAAAAAAAAAAAGAAGAATAATACTTCTTATTCTCCTCATTGGCCAGGTTTCTGATCACGTAATAGGCATCGCTGACATGTAAATGTGGGCGGTCTTGCATCCATGCATTTATCCACTTTGATGTCACCAAATCACAGAAGTTCAGAAAGAGTCTATTTTTGTAGTTTAGTCTCAATAATTTTTGGTTTTGAGTTCTGAACGTTCTGATCGTTTTATTCATCAATCATTTTTATCTTCTGATAACATTCTGATTCCTCATAATATAATGGCTTTTATTACCACAGAAGTAATTTGTTTTATCTGAGCACATTCTTCATTATCTACTTTGTCTTGTGTTTGACTGCTGCTCTGTTCTGGCATTTCACGCTCAGTTTTTGTTGGTCTATTTGACTTCTCAGAGCTTGATAGATTTGGACTTGGAGTCCCTTAAATAGACATTAGTTGTGGTCGTGTTGCAAAGGCAGGTGGGGTGCAGGTGGACCATTAAAGCTGGTGCGCCTGTGAGCCACTTAAAACAAATGAGTCCCATCTGCCAACGCTAAGAAAGACATGCGCACATTCCATTTGTTTTCCCGTGTATGTTGGTAACCCGCCGTGATTGATGCCGGCTGCACATCTGCACGATAAGCAGCATTACTGATGCACATTCGGAGCCGGCTGACTTCTCATTTACAGCCAATAAGAGGCACAGTGGAGCGTGTGGCCTGGGCTGATCTGCTCGAGGACAGAACGCTGTGTCACCTCATTAGGTCATGTGCGCCGGGCCGCTGGGGGCGGGATGTGATTTAGATGATCAATACTGGGCTGGCAGTCGCGATCCAGCTCTTAAGTAAAACAGATGTGTGGAAACGCAAGATTGATGGTGGTAGGGAAGGAAAAGTAAGTTTCTAAAGTAAGTCTACTTTACTTGATGACTTTCCTAACTCTTCTTTATTGGTAATCAGATTAGAGTTCAAAAGTGCAAAAAGTATGTAGCAGTGTTATTTTAGTATCAATGATATAAAATACTATAGTTTTTGTTAATATTTAGAATAAAATTTTATTTTTATATTATATTTTCTGTTTTTATTTTAAATTTGTTTAAAGTTTTGGTAATTTTGTCATTTTATGTCATTAGCCCCCGGTTTCACAGACAAGGCTTAAGCCTAGTCCTAGACTAAAATGTAAATCTGAGCTGTTTCAGCTGAAAGAAACGTGCACTGACTGATCTTAAAACATGTCAGTGCCTTTGTTTTGTCTTAAGATGCACACCAGTAATGCTTTTTTTTTTACTAAGGCATGTTTATAAAAATTACTTAAATGTCCTGATTGAACTATGGCCTAATCCTGGTTTAGGCTAAGCCGGTCTATGAAACCGGGCCTAGATTTTAATTATTTTTTTTTTTTTGTAATTTGAATTATTTGCTTCAACTTACTAAACAAAAATAATAAATTTTGCCCTGGCAAGTGGCTGAAATAAAGAAAAGTTTAATGTTTTTTATTGATTTAATTTTATTTCAGTTGATATGTATTCCATTTCAAGAAATTACGTTTTTATGATTTTAATTTAACTTATCAATGATAACCCTGGTATTTAGATGTCTGAAGGGACTATTTCAAATTTAATTGTCATTTGTTTAATTTTAAAATTTATTCAGCTAGAAAAAAAAATGTCGACATACTAAGTATACAGCTTAAAGGAACACTCCACTATTTTTGAAAATAGGCTCATTTTCCAACTCCCCTAGAGTTAAACAGTTGAGTTTTACCGTTTTCGAATCCATTCAGGCGATCTCCGGGTCTGGCGGTAGCACTTTTAGCTGTAGCTTAGCATAGATCATTGAATCTGATTAGACCGTTAGCATCTCGCTCAAAAATGACCAAAGAGTTTCTATATTTTTCCTATTTAAAACTTGACTCTTCTGTAGTTACATCATGTACTAAGACCGACGGAAAATGAAAAGTTGCGATTTTCTAGGCTGATATGGCTAGGAACTATACTCTCATTCCGGCATAATAATCAAGGAACTTTGCTGTCGTACCATGAGTGCAGCAGGCGCAATGATATTTTGCAGAACTCTAGGGGAGTTGGAAAATGAGCCTATTTTCAAAAATAGTGCAGTGTTCCTTTAAGTAACACTCTTAACCTGTGTTACATTCCTCTGGATAGACAGATGGCGCTGTTATGTCCCAAATGAGGAATTTCCTCTTGGAAACTTTTTTGACTTTTTGGCTGCAGTTTTAACTGCTTTTAAGTTATGATAATGTAGGGTTTGTTTATGTTCTTCATGTAGTCTCAGTTTTTTTTTTTTTTTTTTACAATAATAAATGTTTATATGAGAAAAGCTTTAGCATTTTACATTGTATACAATAGTACACAATGTACTACAAATAATATATTTTCTTCCTCATTCTACGAAAAGAATCCATGTGCAATCATAAAAAGTCATTTTATACACCCTGTTTAATTCTGAAGCAAATTTTGAGCAGCAGAAATAATTTACTTTTGCATTTATCCTTACCTCTTACAGTTTTAATATGTTCGTATTTTATAGTGAATTCTATGTAGAAAATCCATATCAGAATAATAATTGTTTTCTTAGTAAGATTCTTTTAATATTCTGAATTAGTTTTAATATTTGTATTTTTCCATTTTCAAAATGCTCCATTTTAGTTAAACTAGTAATTTTGTTGTGTTTTTGTAAATTTGTGTTTTTTTTGTCAATTTAAAAAAAAAAAAAATGTGTCTATATAGTTTTTATTCATTTTTATTTATTTTCATATCCTACATTAAGTTAAACTAAATGAAAATGATAAAAGTTGCTTTGGCAAATAGCTTAAGTAAAATATATATATTTTTTTACTTAAGTTATAAGTTATATTTTATTGCATTTCAGTTCAATTTTATTTTGTAAATTTTGTTACTTCAAGTTTTAGTTTTAGTTAATTATAATAACCCTGTTTAATACACCCTATTCTTAACAAATGCCATTTTCTCAGTAAAAATTTAAACATTTAAAAACAAGTTAAAACAATAGAGATAAATTTACTCGAGGCTAGGCTTTCCAGAGAATGAATCTTCAATATAAATGTACTTTTGACTTACTGCACAGGTTACTCAAAACAAGTGAACATTTCTGATGTAGTATTGACTGATGTAAAGTACCGTATTCGCCCATAAAAAGACGACCCCCGATTATAAGACGACCCCCCTTTTTCCAGATGTACCTTTTGGAAAAAGGCTTTTTAAAAACCAAATCTTGTTTTTTCTCAGTAAAACACATTTTGTCTTCAATTATTTTCATATTGCATATTTTTCCTATTTTAATTTTTGTTTTGAAAGTATGGTAAAAACTGGTAAAATGTACCAACAATCACATTTAAAAAAAATACAACTTTTGATATACCATTAAAAAAAAAAAAAACAGGTAGCCCATCTGAATTAGGACATTTAGGATATCCATCTAATAGTAGCCTACCAAAATCTTATTAACAGTAGAAGTAGAGTTGGTCCCATCAGGCTAACGTGACAGTCACGACTCATGCAGCTGTAAGCTTTTCTTTTTCTTTTGTTTTTACTCGAGATCTTTACAACACGCATTACATTACGTATTTCATGGCACACTCGTTTTATGCGGTTTTGGCGCCACCTAGTGTTGTGGGTGTATTATTGACATGTCAAAGTCTAGACCCTGAATATAAGACAACCGCGTTTTTTCAGATGTATTTCCAAGAAAAAAACATAGTCTTATATTCGGGACAATACGGTAATATTTCTACTTCAATTAGTTTTTTTATATAAACATGTTTGTTGGCTGTCATAAAAACTTTATGGATTTATTCGAACATAAATAAAACATTGAAGAACAGTAGAATTTATGTTATAACTGCAGCTGTCAGGTTTTCTTTTTCTTTTGTTTTTACTGGCGATCTTTCCAACACGCATTACATTACGTATTTCATGGCACACTCGTTTTATGTGTATTTGGCGCCACCTATTGTTGTGGGTGTATTATTGACATGTCAAAGTCTAGACCCTGAATATAAGACGACCGCGTTTTTTTAGATGTATTTCCAAGAAAAAAACATCGTCTTATATTCGGGTCAATACGGTAATCAAGTATCCCTGCTCTTCTCATCTTTTAGGAGCATGATGCCTAAAGCCCTCAACGGGCAAATTGTAATGGAGAAAACGCCCAGATACTTCGTCTCCCCAGAGACGCCGGGCCGCATCCACGCCATGTCACGCGACATCAAGCTGATCGTGGTGGTGCGGGACCCCATCACCCGCGCCATTTCAGACTACACCCAGATCATCTCCAAGACGCCCGACATCCCCAGCTTCGCGAGCCTGACGTTCAAGAACCGATCTATGGGACAGATAGACTCTCTCTGGAGCCCGCTGTACATCGGCCTGTACGCCAGACACCTGGAGCGATGGCTGGCCTACTTTCCGCTCTCGCAGATCCACTTTGTCCATGGTGAGAGGCTGATAAGCGACCCGGCGGGCGAGTTGGGCCGAGTGCAGGACTTCCTCGGCCTGCAGAGGATCATCACAGATAAACACTTCTACTTCAACAAGACCAAGGGCTTCCCTTGCCTCAAAAAGCCAGAAGGCAGTAGCAAACCCCACTGTCTGGGCAAAACCAAAGGCAGAACGCATCCTAAAATCGACCCGGAGGTCATTCAGAAACTGAGGGAATTCTACCAGCCTCACAACCTCAAGTTCTATCAAATGGCAGGCATGGACTTTGGATGGCAATGACCTTTTCTGACCATTAACACGTAATGGCTCCATACTGCGGTTGATTTCTTGAGCATGAGGCTTAAGATTAAACTCATAATGTCGGTCTAAAATGTGATATCCTAGGATGGCCGATGGCTCCGTAGCTGTTCAAATCAATGCGTCTGCCAGATAAATAGAGGTCTGCACACTTCAGGTTACAGTAGTCTTTTCATACCGTCGGTGTGACTCAGCTTGAGGGAACTGATAGAAATGACCTTAAATCATCCGTTTAAGTAGCACTTTTCTGCTCTTGCCATTTTGATGTCTTTTTTTACGTTGCTTAGTCAAGCTTCAATCATGTCTGTTCGATCCTTCGTATCAGAAAGAGTCTGGATTTGAAATAAACTGTGTAGCATAGACATATTTGTCATCGTTGCAGTATTTACACAGAACAGAAAGAGACATTGTAGCGCCTCCGTGTGGGCTGGTCTACAATCACATTCTACATCCAGTGGCTCAAATTGGTTTAGATTGTCTGCTGTAATTGGTTCAAATGTAGACAATATGCAGATGAGGCCGGTCCTTTTGAATTTCCCCTCTGCATGCATGAATTTGCACTAGTCTGAAATGCAGCCCACTAGAAAGCCAATAAATTATTTTAAGTTCCTGTGTAGTTGCTTTTGCTCTGTTTAAATCCCCCAAATTGGTCAAATGTAATATAAATGTTAATGCAAAATAACCACTTAACCATTTGTTTTTTTTTCAATGTTTCATATAATTCTGAAATAAAATGATTAACTGTATCACGTCAACAAAATCACCTCATGGTGCTTTTGGCTAATAAAAGTGCAAAAGGTGAACTACCATTCAAAAGTTTGGAGAGTTTGATGTTTTCAAAAGAAAGCTCTTCTGCTCACCAAGGCTGCATTTATTTAGTCACAACTACAGTAAAAACAATAATAATGTTAAATATTGAAAACAGCTTTTCGATGTCCCAATTTATAACTGTGATCAAAGCTGAATTTTCAGCATCATTACTCCAGTCTTCAGTGTCACACGATCCTTCAGAAATCATTCTAATATGCTGATTTGCTGCTCAAGAAACATTTCTGTTTATTATCAATGTTGAAAACAGTTGTGCTGCTTCATATTTTTGTGGCAACCATGATACATTTTATTTTTCAGGATTCTTTGATGAAAGAAAGTTCAAAAGAACAACATTTATTTCTCTCTACTGTAACAGCCTGTAGGTATAGTTTCATCAAATGGTAAATCAATATGCACTATGCTAATACCAGTAAACTGAACACTACTTACCGTCAGTGTGAGATCTGGTGCTGAATGGCTTTGCACATCCAGTTTTTAAGCAACGCAATTGAGCCTTAGCAAAGACCTGCTCAGTTCAAGCGGCACGTGAACCGTTCATCTCCTCCTCTTTACTAGTTATAGCATGAAATAAACATGAATGAACATCAGAAGACGTCAATACACACCATTTTTCAAGTTCGCTTCATATTTTTGTGGCAACCATGATACATTTTATTTTTCAGGATTCTTTGATGAAAGAAAGTTCAAAAGAACAACATTTATTTCTCTCTACTGTAACAGCCTGTAGGTATAGTTTCATCAAATGGTAAATCAATATGCACTATGCTAATACCAGTAAACTGAACACTACTTACCGTCAGTGTGAGATCTGGTGCTGAATGGCTTTGCACATCCAGTTTTTAAGCAACGCAATTGAGCCTTAGCAAAGACCTGCCCAGTTCAAGCGGCACGTGAACCGTTCATCTCTTCCTCTTTACTAGTTATAGCATGAAATAAACATGAATGAACATCAGAAGACGTCAATACACACCATTTTTCAAGTTCAAGTCCACCGACGTTAATCTACTCTCTTTGTTTGTCTGGTTTGTTTGGCGGTGTTATGATTGGTCAATCATGATCAATCAAACTCCCAGCGAAGGGGTTGACCTCGTTGTGTCACATGACGATTGGTAGTACATGACAAATGGACATTATTTGATGTAAAATATAGGCCTATGATACGTGGGCTTTAATTGACACACAACTTTGATTATTTCTGAAAAAAAAACTTTTTTTTAAATGAATGTTTTATTTTTTTTCTCCGGTCGCCTATCCATAGGCAACGACTGTAATGTAAACAGACAGTGTGGTCACAGTTTTAGAGGCACTACTGATAAACATCTTGCATGTTATTTTAAAATAATCAGAATAATTACAACAAAAAGAAAAAAATAATAATAGTGGGGACAAGGTTAGCAAGCTGGTCAGATTACGTACTTAAAGGTGGGGTAAGTGATTTCTGGTAGCCAATGTTGATATTTGAAATCACCAAAACAAAAGCTGTTGCGGCGCAGACACGGTCTTACTCACCTATCGAGAAGAAACAAAGCAACCTCGGCGTCCGATCGAAGGCCTTCCGCTCTTTGAGTTCTCTCCAGCGCTGGAAAGCTGATCCAATATTTACACGGGTCCTACTTCTTGCCTTAAGCCTTCTTTTGTTCCGCAGACGTTTCCTCTTTTGTTTTTTATCCGCCATCTCTATCTTTCTGTCGCTCGGCTCGGCTAATGTCCGTCCTGTGCACTGAACGCGCTCTCCTCCACATCCTGAGTAGTTACGCCCCTTACTGCTGATTGGCTACAAGTTTGTTTTGCTATTCGGCCCGAATCGGTTTTCTAAAGTGTTTTTGAAAAATCGCTTACCCCACCTTTAAAAATAAACGGGGATTTTCCGACTTTCGAGTGATTCGTTTTATACACGTTGTCATATTAATTATAATACAAATGCATTTTGTTTTATTGACCACAATATTATTGTTCATGATTGTTAAGAGTGGCACTTTTGACAAATTTTTCTTGAAAAAAAAAAAACAAACAAAAAAAGAAATCGAAAGAGAAATCCAAAAAGAAATGCAAAAGAGAAACTCCTTTTTTTTTCTCCTCTAGCAGTGTACGGTCAGTCGGTAAAACACTGTCTATAGCGACACCCTCTGGTCAAAATAATCAAGTGTTTCTAAGCAAAAAAATAAACATAAGAAAAACGCATGATTCAGGTTATAAAGGTTCTCTTTATTATTATAATAATGCATTGATTTAATATAGTGATTACTTTGTGTCTTGCTGAATTTGTAGAAGACTTAATATACATTTCATCAACATAAAGTCAAAGTCCAATAAATAAAAACAACAACCTATCAAACCAAACATATAAACACAGCAAACAGCTCACTTATGAGAAAACACCAAATATCAAATTAAACATAACCAATCTGACATAAGCTGACATGCATTTTACACCTTTAGTCTAGAAGGAGTTGGTCAGTGTACATTACTGTAAAAAAAAGTATAATTCATCTAATGTATATGTTTAATTCATTATTGCACATAAAATGTAAACAGTCTCTTTAGACCAGGGCTGTCCAAACTCGGTCCTGGAGGGCCGGTGTCCTGCAGAGTTTAGCTCCAACCCTAATTAAACACACCTGAACCAGCTAATCAAGCTCTTTACTAGGCATAGAAACTTCCAGTCAGGTGTGTTGAGGCAAGTTGGAGCTAAACTCTGCAGGACACCGGCCCTCCAGGACCGAGTTTGGACAGCCCTGCTTTAGACGGTTCATAATTGAATGGATAAATTGATAAGTGATTTAATCTTATGATTTGAATGAGATTAAATATACAGAATCGAAAGAGATGATAAGGAATTCAAGTAACTTGACCTCATGGATCATGTTCTTCCATCCTAAACAGAACAACACGGCGTCCCACAGTAAAGCCACTTCTTTTATCCCAAACAGTTGCATGCGCTTAGCTGATCTAGAATTCAATTCTTGTTCTTTTCACAGACACATATAGACCTTTGCACTCTACAGAATGATTAACAATTAAAAACAAAATAATTCTCTTGATTTTTCATTTATATTTGTGAAATAACAATCCTTACATAGCCTAATTTGAAATGTGTTGAGATTATTATGGATGATCAAATAGGCTATAAAATAAACTGTTCCAGGACTTTTGCATGCTATACGGTTAAAGAACCAAGATCAATAGCACAAACAAAGGCACTCAGCAATCTAATTTGTGTCTCATTAGAACTGATCTAGAAAACAGACCTTCAGGATCGATTTGGAAATGACTTCATAATACAGCAGAGGGAAAATCTAAAGCAGCGGGCAGCTTTCACAAAAAGACGTTTTCTACTGAATGAGTGTGGTGGCTCTCAGAAAATGGGAATATTTCTAATGCAATTTCAATGGTTAGATTTTTACAAATGCCTTGTGTCACATTTTATTCTCTAGGATTGAGGAAAGCCGTTCATTCGTCGCAGGTCTGGTTCCAGAATACATTTTACGCATACTATGTCAGCAGCACATTAATAACAAACTAAAACTCACAGTATCACCTTCAGACAACAGCACAACATCAAACCAAACATTATGCAACAGTTATATAATCTCAACGCATCACCTCCAAACAAAGCTCCCACGGCTGTCAGAGTCTGTTAATGACGTCGATGATGACCGGCTTCAGCAGTACTCCTCTCCTTGTGGAGACGGCAGGTCGTTGAGGTCCAGGAAGACTGAATTGGCGGAGAGCTTGCGTCCAGAACTGGACAAGTCCAGAAACTCCTCGGCCGAGCTGGGGACGGAGCTGATGTACATGTCCCACACCTGGTCTGGAGAGTCCAGGTCCAGCAGCTTCTGCTTGATCTTCAGGTTCTTCGCAATGTTCCTTCGCTTGTGTTTGAACTCCAGAATAGTCTTGGTGTATCTGTTGATGGTGGTGACGGAGGAGGCCATGCAGGCGGTGAAGGAGCTCCAAGCCAAGCTGGAGAGAGTTTCAAATCAACATCTGTCTTATAACTAGGTATTAACAAGGGCAGAATCATTAAGGACAGATTATGGACCTGCGAGACCCCAAAAAACATTCACAAGTTGTTGTATATATACATATATATATGTTTAGTGCCGTCAAACAATTAATCGTGATTAATCGCATCCAAAATAAAAGTTGTTGTTTACTCAATATATGTGTGTGCTGTGTATATTTATTACGTATATATAAATACAAACACATGCATGTATATATTTAAGAAAAATATGTTATGTTTATATATTAAATATATTTATATATATTATAAAATATAAGAATATAAATATATAAATGTATATGTATGCAAATGTTTCCAAAATATATGCTGTATGTGAGTGTATCTATATATACATAATAAATATACACAATACACACGCATATATTATGTAAACAAAAACTTATTTTGGATGCGATTAATCGCGATTATATGATGATTATATATATATAAGTGGTGTGTGGTGGTGTTCTGAAATGAGGAGGCAAAGTCCTCAAAGGTTTTTTTTTAATCAAATATAAATTCATGTCCCATTCACACTTTCTTGGTTAAATAAACATTACTTACACTATCAGAAAAAGAAATCAAAAACAACTATTTTTACATGAACAATTATTTATTAAAGCCAAGTATGAATCTCATCAAGTTACATTTATTCCAAAATAATAACTCAAGGCAATAACAATTTAGCAATTTGAAACAATTTTAAATTGTTTAAATTTAGCACAAACATTTTATTTGTGAACTTATGTTCAGCTATTCTTTTTAATAGTTAACTTTGAACTATTTTTGAATTTTTCAGATCATCAGTCATCAAAGCTCAGTAAATATTGAATACTTGAAATTTGCACCAAGCTGGTTACTCACTAAAAACTCCCACAGATCATGTTTTCATGCCATGTTATGCATTATTTTGACATAACAAAGTGGTTATATCTGTGTGTGTGACTTGTTTACTTACTTTTTTTCAATTAGTCTTCTTATTGATTGTCTTATTCTTATTAAATCTTATTAATTAATTTATATTGTTCATTCAGAGTGATTCACGAATGTGGAACGTGCACAAACACAATAGGTGGGATTTATCGCATGAACCAATTTTACCAAGCATTGTGTACATTTTTCTATTCTATTCTATTCTATTATAATTTTGAGCTCACATTCAAGCATTGTTAATATTGGTTTTGCATTTGCAGCGCATTGTTTCCAGAGCAGTTAAAACCCCCAAGACATGCATCCCTGGGCTTCATTCTAATGCTTATTAAACCTAGACAACAGAAAGCATGACATGAGTGAACGTACATGTAAGACCAGCTGTAGTCCCAGTTCTGTGGCTTCCAGTCCTCCGGGCCCAGACTGACGGTCAGCTGGAACGCTGTAGTGAACATCATGTGTGCTACCATACCGAGAAGACCTGTGAACCAGAGCAGAGACAAACACTGTTACAGACCGATCCCTCTGTCACCAGCAGGAGGTAGTGATGAACCACGGCACAGATGAACACCAGCAGCATCTCACACACTCATATACCACTGCACCTCAAACAGTGACCACAGAATCCTGCGGTTCCACATGCTCAACTACATCTAACGCTGATCTGATGGACATTTTCTAATTCACGTATCATTAGTCAATGCAGTTTGTATGAGCTTATATTAACTACACTACATAACCAAAAGTGTCCAGGTATAATTTTAGTATAAGGACTGCGGCTCTCTAGGACCGAACTTGCCTACCCCTGCATTAAATGTAAGATGATGTTGATGATGATGATTATTAATAAATATATAAAGGTATGATATTATCAGTTTGATAATATAATATAATATAATAACGTAACAGGCGTGACAATGGAGTTGGATCCAAATGCAAGGCTTTAATAAAGAGCGTAGTCAGACAGGCGTTGTAAAACTACAGCTAACAACAATATCCAAGGCAAGGCAAAAAAGAATAATCCAACAACAGGCAAAGATCAGGGCAGGCAGCAAACAATCAAAAGTCAATAATAGAAAAACAAACAAACAAACAAACAAACCATAATAGAAAATCCTAACAAATAAAAATATTAAACAATTCAACAAAAAAGATTGTGTAAAAGCTTGCTTTCAGAGAATATATCATGAGGCGTTGACAAGGTATAAATAGCGGTATTGTCATGAAAATGAATGCCTAGTTCTATTAGAAATGTTGGTCTAAGCAGATTGCATAGCTGTATACTTCATTTTTTTGCACCTGTTAGTATTGTGTGTTGCTGAAATAGCCAAACCTGTTCATTAAAAAGGGGGTGCTTTGACACTGATTACAATGCTTCCATGGTTCCCTGTGTGTGTGTATAAGTTGGGGAAAGATCCCCCAGAACAATGTGCATTTAAATTTAAAGTGTAACATATTTAGATGTTTATCATGTGCAGGATGATGATGCATCAGCCAACGTGTTATTAGGAAATAAATAGAAACAGTTCCTAATTTAGTTGTTAAAGCACAACATGGAAAATTATAATTTATTCTATGACTTATACACAGGCTTATGAATATTTACATTTTTAATTGTCCATAATGTAGTTGAGGATATGTCATAATAGCCACACTATGAATGCAAAGTGAAATGATTTCACTCAATTAGCCTTTAGGTTTAAATGAATAATAAAGGCTGTACCTCTGTTGCATTGGATTATTGAATAACCCTGTAAATAAAAAATAATAACACTAGTAACAACATGCCACTCTGGGCCTTCAGTGCCAATTATTTCAAAACAAAAACTGTAACTTTTACTCCACAAGTCCAAAAACATTAATGTGTCCACAAATTTGTCATTAACAAACAGACACAAAAATTTTGATATTCAACATGATGACACGATGTTAGATTGACTAACTGACTGACTGACTAAATGTAATAAATTAGATGCAGTTGAAATGACAAAATTAAAAAACAAAATTATAGCATAGCCATTTATCTACTTTATATACAGTATATGTTATTTATGTATAATATGTATTTCATCTCAATGCATTGACTGTGTTGTCCAATAATTAGAAGATTCTCATCTTGTATATATGGATGTTTACAGTTGAATAATCTTGTCTGAATGCAGTTTTCACTCAATATCAATCAGAGGACATGCTAGGAAATCTTTGAGTGAATGAATGAATGAGTGTGTGTTAGCAGCAGCAGCGCAGGTCAGGCTTTCCTGCTTAATGGTGTCATTATGTGGAAGTGAAAGCAGTCTAAATGCTCTGGCCTGATGGCAAACTGGACATAATCAACAGCGTCAGACCTGCAGTCCGGACAATCAAAGTCACCTCACCAGAAATAGCAAGGACAGAGGTAAATTACACATTATTTACAGCTCACTAAGTCTGCATACTGAGCCGCCGCAAATCCACTCAATAAAGCCAAATCACAGAATCGAGTGGAAAAACAACAAAAACAACCTGAAAGAGACGGTCTGAGCTTTCAGACACCCTATAAAAAGCGGTTTGTGTCTCTTATAGTATCATGTCCATCTAAATCCTCACACGCGTGTCTGACCGATAACCCTCACGTCTCCATGACAACCGCAGCGATCGGTCTGTATGCAGACATCTTCACGAACACACACTAGTGAATAATAACAATAAAAAGCGCTTGTTAACTGCATTCATTCATGAATCAGCAGAATCCCCGGACAGTGCAGCCCACGTTCACTTCAATAACCCATCAGAATTATGATTAGTTATTTTTATTGCCTCATTTTTTCAGCAAACTGCCAGCACAAATGGGGTATAGGATGTGATTGATTCCTTCAAGCCGACTACATAATGGATTAATACTGTAAAAACACAAAATAGATTCTCAAGAGTCTCTCCAATGACCCTCTACTGTCAAATCTCATCTGCACTTCCAGATATTCAAACCTGCCACATCGCATTTGGGTACGAGGCATTTAGAAACCAATAAGCTTAAAGTCTTTTTCATACTAGACTATTATATGGCTTTAGAAGACTTACAATATAGCTCGAAGGACATTTTATGATACTTTTATGTTTTTTTTCTTTTTTCCCCTTAATGAAACTGATTTAGGTTTGGAACGAATTCAATTATTATTGTTGATGATTATTATTATTACTATTATTAATATTACTGTCTTATCTATAATATAATATAATATAATATAATATAATATATAACATTTTTAATCTGATATTATATTGAAAGGCAAGGCAAGGCAAGGAAACACGGTTAGAAAACACAGGAGACAATAGGCGCATTTCTATTACCCTTCAAATTGCGCAAATTTAAATTTCCAATTGAAAATACGCCAAATGGAAATGCGTCAATTTCGCAAAAACGCCCATATATCGCAAAAAAGTTTTTATGCTCGCATGAGGTGGTTTTTCAGGCAATGCGAAAAAGGAATAATTCGCAAAACTGCAATGGAAACGTTTTTTTTTGCATTTAAAGGTCATCGAAAAAATCGCATTTTTATCAAATACTACATCTGGATCATATTCAGTACAATGATCAAAGCAAAGATGCAGTAGCACTTTGTCCATCCAGCGTAGTCCATCAGCACTCCCAAAGTTTGCACAGTCCTTTTCCACTTCCTGGATCGACAGTTCACTCTGTAACATTAGGCAGTTTTCATTTATATGCTGTTTATTGTTGATGATTGCATTTTTTTCATATGCATATGCATACATTCGAGATCGCTTGTTTCTGCATCTTCCTCACCTTTGATCTGCACATTCTAGACTCATTCACGAGGTGCGTAATAGCGCCCCTGAGCATATAACAGCGAGAATGCGGAAATCCGGAAAATTCCATGTTTGGCAGGGAAGCATTGCCTCATAAATAACGGAAAATTCCGTGTTTGGCAGGGAAAGAGTTAAAGCACAAATGAAAATACGAGCATGCGTGTCAGATCCGCGTCACGTTCAGCGTAGTCCATCAGCACTCCCAAAGTTTGCACAGTCCTTTTCCACTTCCTGGATCGACAGTTCACTCTGTAACATTAGGCAGTTTTCATTTATATGCTGTTTATTGTTGATGATTGCATTTTTTTCATATGCATATGCATACATTCGAGATCGCTTGTTTCTGCATCTTCCTCACCTTTGATCTGCACATTCTAGACTCATTCACGAGGTGCGTAATAGCGCCCCTGAGCATATAACAGCGAGAATGCGGAAATCCGGAAAATTCCATGTTTGGCAGGGAAGCATTGCCTCATAAATAACGGAAAATTCCGTGTTTGGCAGGGAAAGAGTTAAAGCACAAATGAAAATACGAGCATGCGTGTCAGATCCGCGTCACGTTCAGCAGCGGCAGCTCTTAAAGTAATAGCAGCCAAATAACCCAATAACCCAGCTGCTGTGATGTCTGTTAATCAAAGAAGAAAAGAAAAAGAGGAAATCAATAACTTTTGTAGCTTTAAGGATTCATCTACATTTAATTTAGAATTTAGTGTTTGATAACTTTATTAAATTTCTGTATATTTCCTACTTGTTGAAGGGCACAGGTAACTAAATATGACATTTATTATAATGGGTTTATGGGAAGATTGTTTTAAGTTCACTTAAATTAGAAGTTGTTATTTTTTTAAGTCTAATAAAATTGTTAAAATTGATAGCTCTCAATTATACTGTAATGTTGAATGGCTAAAGTTAAAGGATAAATATTAGGATTATTAATTTCCTAGAGACATCAGTAGTATTGGTATCAGTGATACTCGCCTTCAGTCATAAAATAGACACCATTAAACAAATATTAAAAATATACTGTCTTTATGTTGTTTCTACATTAATTTGAAGATTGAATGTGAAATTATTGCAATATAAAAGTATATTTAAAAACTTTATTATTAGGTGGGATTAAATTATAATTTTCGCTTGGCATATCCCTTTACTTCAGGAACATACAAAATGTTTATTGCTATTGTGTAAGGTTATATTTGGTGTTTTCGATTGGTCTAAAGACTTTAATCTACAACAGCACTAAAATACGAGTTCAATCAAGTAAAGGTAATGGGTTATTAGAGTCACAAAACATAATTATCTATGTGACAAAGTGCATTAAACCTAAAACTTTTCAATATACATCATGTACTTCATGCTTCACTGCATCTAAACGTCTGGTGTGTTAAGAATGCAGTCGACTGTTCTCTTCTGTTGATTGTGTCAAATGAAGAAAGAAGCTAATTGAGGTTGCAGCCCCTTCCCATGATGCACAGCGTTCATGAGCCCGCTCTCTCATGAAGCTCAAGAAAGAGATGACAGTGGGCCGTAAGTTCATCCCTCAGCCTTTATGCAATAATAAAACTGTAACGTGACACAAAAGGTCTCTCAGCAATCTTACTCTGTGTTTGACACACATTTAGGCCGGTCAAAGCCTCATTTAAATACAGAAGTGCATTTTTTATGATATGGGAGGTATTAATTTTAATACCAATAAATGTGATGTGCAAACATTCAATAGTAATCCTGAAGTGTGTAGAAGGTAATATTAATTAATAGGAATTTTTACAAAGGAAGATATTATTAATTTGTTATTATTACACTTTGACATAATATAATATAATATAATATAATATAATATAATTTAGCCTCCTGAGACCCTGCATCCTCATATGAGGACATTATATTTTAGTGAATTTCTCTGAGACTATACATGCCACAGTTTTAAGTCTGGATGTCCTGTAAAGAGCACATTCAGGGCATATTTGCATGTTTCACCATGACCACGCCCTCTCCCAGGTCTTCATTAATTTAGTGATCAAATGTAACACTCTTATGGAAATATGATAATATTTTGTAATTATCATTTAAATCTGACTCATTTTTAAACTGTTTGTCACAAATCAACATCTCAGGAAAATGTTATGGGGTTTTAAAT